TACCTTCGCCCATATATAATCGCGAACGTAATTGGGATTCTATACATGTCCACTTGGTCCTTAGTGTTACACGTAACGTTCGAAGCTTCCTTGGCGTTAACAGCAGTGCTCAGATGCAGGGCTACACGGCCGAGACGACGGTCGAGCTGCTGTATCCGAGCGGATATGTTGTGTAAATGCTTTAGTTAACTATAGTAACGAAACACATTTTGCCCGCTATACGTGCGGACGCGCGTTACCTATGTATAACGTTACATGGTACACAACAACGGCGAAAGGGTCTCCCTGCGGAGTATTCGCGCGGATCGTGGTAGCGTCGCACCTGTGACGCTAAACGTGAAACTTTAATCCCACGTCTTAATCGCGCTTCCGTGACAATCGCGAAGTGATATTTCTGGAATTTTGTCGACCGTTAGGATTCATCTTTCCGAGTTCCCAGGAGTTTCGCATGTCGCAAGCATTCGAAGAATCCGCCATTACCCAGCTTTTACTGTCGGCGCAAAATTTGCTGGAATACGCTTCACCTCGTTATTTACTCGTCAAACGGACTCGCAATGGCGATTGATCCAAGTTCGCCGTGATGCCCATAAAATTGTTCATTATCTTTCAACTCGCACTCTCGTCTTACATCTTTATGCAAAAATCGTAACAGATAAAATACGTACACGGAGAGAATATTATATATTTTTTTTATACAAACTCGTTTTGATTATGTTTTTTCAATATGTTTTAGTATCTCAGAAATAAACAATCAGAAAATCTATCTTGCTGAGAAACATTTATTTCAAATATTACTACAAATATAGCGAGTATTTTAATAGTATATTTCAGTTTCTAAAAACACACATGATATAAAAGGATAGTGAATCATTGCACAAAAATATCGATTCGTTTGACGGTTATAAAATCCTATAATATTTTTCAATGTAATATAAATTTAATATAAATTTATATGAAATTTGTGGCAATTCTAAAAAATTAATATAAATTTATATAAAATTTTCCCCGTGATATATTTTTTACACATCCTCGTGTCTTTTCTTCTCGTGGTGCCGCGAATTGTTAAAATGCATTGCAAACTCGAGAGCTCGAGTGTGGTTTCACAGTTGACTTTTAACTGAAAATTGCGGTACGGCTTTGCGGTTCCGCTCGGCGGGAATCAGTATTATGAACTATCTGGTATGACGTATCGCCGCGCGAATAGGCAGACGTATTGTGACGTCACGTATCGTGTAGGCAGACACGTACGAGTATATTACACACGAGAATCTGACATCACGCGCGTACCACTCGTCATTTGATAGATAAGATCGTTACACAGTCCGAAGCGAACGATAGCAGTGCCATGCAACTTGCATTACATTATCCCTTAATCACTGTACGAATGAAATCAACACATTCGGTATCGACTGGGCCGTCACTTCAGCATCGCGCGTTGCGTCGCGAGGGGGCTCGCTTAATCCGGAGAACGAGTCGTTTCCCCGGCGAAGTTTGGTCGTTGATTTTCGGAAAAATACGATAAACCGAATCTCATGATTCACAGAGTTAATTCCCGGGGGAGGCACAAACTTCTCTCGAGAGCAAGTTCTCATACCAGCCGTAGGAATTCTATTTTCCTCCGTGTGTTTGCAAGCACGAAACTTTACTTGTCACGTACGAGAGCGTCGTGTACGGGCGCAACAGGGCCAGTTCAAAGGGTTGCCCTTAGCCAATTTCGCTTTAGCGTCCATTCCGTCCCCATCTTTATACATGGTGCTCCAGTTTCTCCACCTACCGCACGCTATTGGTTATCGGCTACTGGAATGTTGAACGTAACCGCCGTCAGTTGTCTGGATGTGTCAGATAAGTAGAGTTAAGTAAAGAAAAGTGACGTAGGCAGAGCCATTTATTATGCGCTCCGAGACATTTCCTCTTGGGCGCTTGAGCAAAGATACATGAATAGAGGTCGGGAGAATTTAGTGCCAGTCAATAAAATGGTGTACCGGCTGGCTTCGGCGAGAGACGCGTTTGTTGAATGAGACGACGCGTATTTCTCTCTTCCTCCCTTTCTCGCGCGTCTCCAGAAAACGGAAATACAATTTCATCTTACGAGAGATTCAATTAAATCTAATTTCACGCGAAATAAAAAGCAACGGGGAAAAATAAAAAGGCGATACGAACGGCTCGCCTGTCTGCGTTTCAACGCCGTACGACGGGGCGAAAAGTTGGTCGATCCTTTCGCATGCATACGTCACGTCCTCGCGTGCCTCGTCGCGATCCCGTCCGTTCTATCGTGCGCATAAATATCACGCGTTAGTGCCGTAAAAAGATGACTTGTGGCCACCCGCCCGCGCACGCTGCCTAAGTGGTAAACTTGTAAGTGGCGAAATAAAGTTGGGCAGGGGTTCTGCGCGCCCTACCTATGCGCGCGCGCACGCTACCGTGTCTGTGACAGTTTAATTAATATCTTTCATCCTCAAAGGAAAAACTTGGCGAACTAACCGGCATGGACCTGGCGATGCCGAGCCGGTTAGAACCACTTCAACTTCGGACGCGGCGACGACGACGACGACGATCCCAACGAGAGCCGTTCTCCGCGACTCCATTCTTCTCGTGCTCTCGTTTACCTCGCCCGTCTCGCGACCACTCGAATAAAGTTCCGTGTAGTTTTCCCTTCTCCGCGAATTTCGGGGTGATTTTGCGTTTCGGCGCTAGCGAACTGTAAGATACGCGCGATGGTGAGTCGACGAAAGTTCCATCCGGGAGAAATCATCTCGGCGAAAAGAAAAGGAATCGTTTGGCTGAAATTGTTTGGCGCGATGCAAGATGCAACGATTAAATAGACCAGAGCGGACATTCAATTATTGTCTGACGGGCGTACGATCCATTGAAATATTCGCAAATATACGATATTCGTAAATTCTTGCAAATGTCACGGACACTTTCTTTTTTCCCGAATATTTTCGATTTTCTCCTTGAGTCGCGAGAGTCTGCTAATTTATACTTTCGTTCGCCGTAAAACACTGCGATTTTCACTACCGCCGTAGCGCGTTGTGCATCGAAGAAAAAGTAAAAAAGGGAGAAGAGAAACGATACACTCGCCTCGACATGCATAGATTCCTCGGCCGCGTATCTGTGAATACACTGACGATTAGCTTCGTAAAATATCGCGGCGGCGATAATGCGCTCTCGCCGGCTGCAAAAACCGCGAAAGGAGGGGAAAAAATGACGGTGATTCGACGAGAGCGTGTAAGCCGTGACTTCTGAACAACCCGCAAAAAATAAACGGCACAAAATTTGCATGGATTGAGTTTGCTCATGGCAAACTCGTCGTTGCTACGTTCAACGCCGACATGGTCATTATACACTCTTTGAAGTATTTCGCGAGCGCTTTAAGCCCATGATATATTTGCCCATTAAATTCGAGCATTCGAGTTTACGCTCGTACTCCGCAGATCCTCAAGAATGGCATGGGACTGCGTCCGGTCAAAAGGCGAGACGACAATGGTGCTTTTGGAATTTGTGAAAAGTCGTTTAGCCTTATTAGTCGTCCGAAATTATATAGCCGTTTGCAAATATTAGAAGCGCGATTGCGTTTCGCGTTGTCATCATACAAACAGTATACGAGCATACGAACGTATAATGACGAATGTGAATCTCGCTTTACTCGAAATACGAAATTACGCTTTACGAAATACATGACTCGGAAAAGAGGAGAAGAAGAGAGAAAGAAAGGAAGGGAGGGAGCGAGTTTTTTAATACAATTTGTCAAACAAGTATTTGTACGACGCGTGAAGAAACGGATTACTGCGCGCGACGCGCCTGTCGCTTAGTCGAACTCCCTGTTGACGCTGCGTTTTCGCGTGTCGAAACAAGATTCACACGCGGAGAAATATTTCTTCTTCTCTTCGCCAAACATCCTTCGGGCTTTTTGAGAAAGACAGACAGTGTATCGCCGCGGTGCGCGTATATAAATCCGCCACGTATAGATAATATTTCACAATGCATTATTCAGAATTTCCACAAAGCTTTATACGTTCCGCGAAAAAGCCCTTCAGACGTTGCCGAGTGGGGTATCCGCTCGTGCAGGAAGCACGTGACGTTACAGGGCTTATTTACGACTCGGCACACAACGCGGCGCAAACCTCCTCCTATTATTGCCGGTCAAATACGCCCGATCATCGAACACGCGATCTTATCAAATAATTGAAAAACCATGTCGGCGCATCTTGGAGATGGCGCAGCCAGTTTGATGATTCGGAAGAAACGGAATTAGGATCCGCGCGCTCAGATTAAACGCTCGGAAAGCAGCCACCCTTCGATATATCTTTGGAGATTCGCTCTATCCATTTCTCGGCCAATTGCTTGTTTCGTCGAGCAGGTTTTCATGACAGTTGGGGGAGATTATTTGAATGTCTATATACGTAGGAGATTGTAGAAAATATTAGAGTTTCCTGAAATCAACTCAGCTGATAGGTAATATTACGCGAATAAGATGTGTCGAGAGGTCCTTTACGTCCTTCGCGTTTCGTTTATTGTTACGCTCCCGGCTGCATTATTTGCAGTTGGAGACTATCGTAAGACTAGCTCCAATTAGCAAATCGGGCGAAGCAACAAGGGGTAATCTTCTACGTTCGCGTCGTTACTGCGGATCGTAATTTATGCGCGGCGCGACTTAGGTGTACGAATAATTTCGCGAAGCGTCGCGTTTGTTAAGCCGGGAGATAACCAACGGAGGGATCGCACCCACCCCCTCGATCATTTACCGACGTTTATTCGGAGGGATCCCGGCTGAAAGGCTCTCGCTGCGACGAGTGTCCTTTATTTTTTCCGCCGGGGCATTTGTTCGCGCGCGTTCCTCGGCACGTGCCATTAACGCCGACGGTGGAATTCCCGCGGAGAACCCACGGGTTTGCCCTAGCGCAGAAAGGAAAACGAAAAGAAAGCGACGGCGGCGGTGGCGGCGATGGTGGCGGTGCGCGATGCCGGCAATATGCAAATGAGTATGTACGGGTATGTACCTGATAGCGTCGGATTCGTCGCGGACGAGGAGCCGTCCTGGCGCATGGCGTCACTGGTAATTGCCGTTCCGCCAAGATTGGTGCTGTAGTCTTCGAGAAGTACGCAGCACAGTAATAGCCGTGCCACCCTCATTCTGAAAGAGCGAAAAAAAGAGAAACTCAACGATAATAACGGCTTGCACCCTCTTTTTTTTCATTCTTTCTCTTTTGCTCTCTTTCTCTCTCTCTCCCCGTGTCTTTGATTTTTTTTATGTAATACGAGGAAATTTCGCGTAAAAACAATATTTATTGTTCCAAAGGTGATAATTAATGTAAGATAGACACGCATGACTAAATCCCGCATGTTTCAATACACTTTCCCGTTATTATTTCGAGCGTATATTAATTAATTAATTAATTAATTTTAAAAGAGGCAGATCGGAGTGTAGCGTTAACAATAACTCGCAATCATGAAATGTTAACAGGGGTTACGCCAGCGATGTGCAAATTTACGTATTAATACAAATAATGACTATTTAAAAATATATGAGAACGTAAAGCTTCGTGTTAAATGCGATACGATATTGAAAATACAGAAAACTCAAACATGTGTCATATGAGTTAGAGAATCGGTTCAAACACATGCGATTTGCATGTGTTGGCCATAGTCGTGGATAATACAACGGAGTGATATTTTTGAAATTATCGCAGAGGTTTACATTTTCCTCAGTAAAGATTTCAAAGTTTTATCTATGACCAAATTGATCTATACGCGCGGAAGAGCCAAGTTTGGCGAAGCAAAGCATCCTTTTATTAACGGTGGCATTCGGGGGTAATTGTTTTGAAAGTGTTGTCAAAGTAGTTTTGAAAGTCCGGTTAAAATCAATATATTGCATCTCATAGAGTGTCTCATTGTATTTATCTATAGTCACGTGTTATCGGACTTCATACTTCATACTATCTCACGGTAATTGTCACTGTCGGACATCCGATAAGTCCCCAAATACACGCGGAAATAGACAGTGAGCATTTTATTTAATTTTCCGCGCAATATAAAATTTCTCTAGAATAAAATTGTCGAGCAGAGTTGCAGGGAAAAAAATTAACATACACACATATATGTATATATATGTACATATATAATACTAACAGTCGACAACTATCCTCTGCGACGAGATAGAAAAACGCAAGTCAGAGAAGAGAAAAAGTAATAAGGAAAACTCTCTCAAGATCGAAAGAATCGATTAATCACAAACACATAACACACACATGGACTGAAAACTATAAACTAAAAGTAAAGAGATTAACGTCTCGTTTAATCGGTCGTGCCTATCGCGCGAAAACGAAGCTTTCCCACGCGGGGGTTTCCGGGGGTGGCTCATCCCCGGACCGAATCGTCTACGAACTGCCGTAGGCAGCAGCGGCGACGGCGGCGGCAGTGGTGGCGACGGCGAGCGAGCTGGTTAACGTGTGCGAGAAGTTTGCTCGCTTGCGCTTGTACCCACTCTCTCCGTATGTCTCCTTCCGGTCCTTTTTTTGTCGTTTTGCGCACTCCTCGCCGCCTCCTTTCCCGATCGATACATTTGTCAAGCTACGTATAAACGCCGCGAAGTTCGCGGCAATTCCGAGTAATGTACGTACTACGCGGCCGTGGATCGGCCGGCGAAGTGTCTCGCCGGACTTGGACCGTACATCCTGGATTCCTGGGATGCGGTCGTCCGTCGTCTTGGTGGAAACGTGCGCCCGGGACAATTATCCTTTACGCCATCTCGTAAATAACTATCTCTCGGCCGTTTAGCGGCGGAGATTTCAGTCCCCGCGTACGAGGCGGAATTTAGCGCTCCTGGCTGCGCTTATACGCCGCGCGAGTAACTGCTTCGTTCTTATTTACGACAGGACTAAATGAAAACCCTCTCGTCCTGTTCCGACTCCCAACCCTCGTTACCCTCGTTTCCTTCCTGACTTTTCTTCCCTGGCCGACTCCTCCTCCACTGATCTCCCGTTTTTTTCTTTCCCCCTTTCGCCGTCGCCGCGTCACCTCCCCTTTTCGCGCGCCGATGTCAGATTATGGGTTCTTTGTCCTATCTTGCTTACGCGTGATCGATGGTCCTCGCGGGTCGGGGAGAAGTGAAAGATCTCTTCGACGAAAGTGCCGTGATTTCGGGAGAGATGGGGGTCAAGAGGAGAAATATCCGAGATATTATATGTCTACCGGCCGAATGCTCGCCCCATGTTTGTATCATCCGGAAATATTCTCATTTTCGAGTATTATCACCGGGATATTTCCACCACTTCTCCCACCGCGAAGGCGACCACCACCACCACCACTACCACCACCCCCGGCTCTTAATTTCGGCCTTGCTTCCCGAGCGGTACTTCCCCGAGGTTCTTTTACCTCTCGGGTCTTTAGAAGCAGCTTCTTCTCCTGCAATTTTATCTGATGGGAGCTAAGGGAAAAATCCGGGGCCAAGCTGTTGAGCTAGAGTTTAGCTTCCTGGCCGAGTGAGAATCTTCCGGCGTTCGGTTATCTGCGCGTAAAAAAAAAATTATTTCGAACCGAGATGTTATTTCCGTCCGACGTCTCGCGCTGCACATCCCGTGTGTGTTCTCCCTCGATCTTAATTCATCGACGATGCATTGCGCAAATAAAAACTCGGCGTTATCGATCACCCGATCATCCATATTGCGCGATGAATTCGACCGTTCCGTGCTCGAGCACGTCGTAACATCTGCTTTTTATCCTTTCCACTTTTATTTTACGAATTCGACGATACGGACCGAATGCCTTCGCGTTCCATCTAAGGACCGCACATATATCTCCGCGGCATCTCCCGATTCGATAAGATATGAGAAAGAGAGAGAGAGAGGGGGGGGGGGGGGAGAAAGAGAGAGAGGAGCTGAAAAAGCATGCACATTAGGATATCGAGCGTGCCAGGTTCTCGCACGCTTCTCGCTCGCGTTCCGTA